AAAAGAAAAGAAAAAAAATTAGAATGAACTTAGAATACACTTGGAGACATGACGAAAAATATTTTTATCTATTTGGAACAGAAACAATAATTTTCCATAAAGAACACCTTATAAGAACTTTCATAAAACCACTACAATGAAAATTGAAAAAACAGTTCCATTTATGGTAAGAATGGCATTTTTAGTAAGAATTGATAAGAAAAAAATGTCCATTGTTGCCAGTGCCCATTGACTGAGTTGTGATGATAAGGACAGAAATTTGCAGAATAAAAATATTGTGTAACCATTACCAAGGGTGAGAAAGTATGTGCTGTTTTAGCTCCACTAATTTAAGTTTGTATTTTTCCTGGGTATGTACAAACTTTTCAAGGAATGATAATACAGTCAACTCTAAATGTGTAAACTTTTCGCTATAGTGAACCAAAGCCAAAAGACCTGATGTAGGTAAATTGCAAATAAATACTAAATGATTAATTTATAGAGAGCGTCTTCCCTTTGGGTATTGTGAAAAAGGAAATAGTTCAACTTCTAGTTTGAAAATATAGTTTGTCTCAAGACTATGATTTCCAGTAATCTTGAGGGTTGGCAGCTGAGGATCTTGTGAGTTATTTTTGTAGCATTTACGACAAACAAAAAGGACCATATACCACTGGGCCACTGGGGAAATTGTTTCAGCTCATTTACCATAGTTCTATGAATCCTGAAAACTTCATCAATGTGGACTGCGAGATAAAAACAAGTGAAATTCAATGTGACTTGGGCATGGCAAATGCAGTGGAGAGACATTTCATACCAGAAGAAAATCTGTGTGATAAGAGTATCAAAGGAGATAAAAATGAAGAAATTATTTCAAAAGTGCAAAAGTAATTTGAGGATGTAATAATATAATTTGAAAGTGTGGGGAAATCGAATCATTAGTGTAGAATGCAAGAAATTTGGAGAAAGATCGGCAAAATATATTAATAAAAATCTGTACTCAGCCAACAGTAATAAACAATATTATTTTAATGCTGAAGAGAGATATTGAATAATAATGATAAAATATTTTTCTGAACTTCTGAAAAAACAAAATCAGTCATTGTAGAGAAACTATATTATTTTGGTGTATTGAATCAAAAATATGGGTTCTCATAGGTTCACTTCAGCTGGAGTTAACTGTGTTCTATTATTTAAATTCTTGGATATATTGCAAGCAGTTTAAAGTGTCAGTATCGGAATTGATTGCCTGAAACATCTGTGGAATTTACTTTGTGCA